CAAAACAAAAATAAATAAATCTATTAAATTTAGAGAAAGTAATTAAATTAAATAAAATAAATTAAAAAACTTAAATTAATTGATTTAACATAAAATTAATTTAAATTAAAAAAAAATAAACTAAAAAAATTAGAATAAAATAATATAAATTGAAATATCTTAAATAAAATAAAATAAGATGAAATAAATAAAATAAATAAAATAAATTTAAAAAAATATATTAAATATATTAAAACAAAATAAAAAATAAATAAAATAAAATAAAAAAAGATAAAATGAAATAAATTAAAAAAATAATAAAATAAGAGAAATAAGAAAATAAATGAAATAAAATATAAAGTTTAATTAAATTAAACTAAATAAAACAAAATAAAAAAATTAAAATAAAATTAAAAAAATAAATAATTTAAAAAACTTAAATAAGTAATATAATATAAAATAAAATTAATTAAATAAAAACTTAAATAAACAAGAAAAAAATTAATGAAATAAATAAAAAATTAAATTAAATTAAATTATTTAAAATAAAATATAAAATTATAACGGTCAATCATGTACAATGTTGGCTTCGCCGATTTCGTCCCGATAATTTGGATACTAAAAAAAACCTTCGAGTCTAACCATAAGTCAGCACTGCTTCGTTTACCCAGAAGTTAAAAATTGCGCACAAACCAATATGGAACCACTTAAGAAAGGTGGACCAAACCAAGAAGGCCAGTGGATGCCACAAGAGCAACTTACAGTAACGTTAAACTAAAACGGTCGCGATTGAAGGGCTGTGAGCCGGCACAAACGATCTACAAGATAGTGTGCTTGGTGGTATCAACAGAAATCATCAACTATTAGCTGCTCCCGCACAGGCAAACCCTTAATTCGTCCGTCTGAAAGAGGCAATGGCACAGAAGCGCTAAGCTTTTGCAAATAGGAGAACGCCAGACCACACACGTCGATAGTGACTTGCCAGAATCTCCGTGAATCTCTGTTCTCGAGAGATGCCTGTGAAAATCGATTGTCCCATTTTTTTATGAATAGAAATAAGGGCTTGTGTGAGATGTGTAAAATGGCAAAACGTTATCAAGCAAAACGGTGCTTGACTTAATCGTATAATTCTAACTACGGTCCAGAGCATGACATCTGAACAAATGGTTGTAAGAGGGCTATATGATAAGTCCTCCGATTTACATGATTTTCGGTGACAATACTTATTTGTAGATCCGAATGCATAATACCAAATTTAATACTCTAATCTGCTTTTTGAACAGATTTTGACCAAAGCTTCTTCTCCGAGAAAAGCGGTGTATGAGAGCTTATGTCGTCCGATTTCGATAGCTTTCAGCAACAATAATACCACATTTCACGCGCTGAGATGACTAAATTCACCCAGCTCGTCATTTTCACTCCATCGGTAAATTTTTGATTTTCTATCTCTTCCATCTCCTGTTCATGAAAGGTATAAAAAAATACAATAATTAAAATAGTTGAAACGAGAATATTTTCTTACTTTCGAGATTCCTCTGTTGCATTGAAAATTGTTTCGCAATACATTCTTAAAATACCGTTTCCAGCGAAAAAAGACTTGCAACTACCGACTTGTGCATTACTATACCAGTCATATGTAACCCACTTTTCCGCTTTATTCTGTATTTGGAATACTCCTTATGCCACTTTCGCTTCCGTTGCCTTTTAACGCTTTTATGTTGCATGTGGCATCAATTTAATTTTTCAAAAATATAGAAAATAAACTTTTTTCTCGGTAAAAAAATGCACACATACTTGTATACTTGCATACATTAAAGTTTTTACATACATATACATATGTATGTATGTATATATATTCACAGAAAAGTTCAAAATGCTCCACTCTGCAAAATACTCCTTAGCAGGAAGATGACGTAAAGTTGGATAACGGTAGTTATGGCAGCGCGCAAATGTCAACTGAACTCAAGCGAATTGGCATGCCTTGGGAGTTGTTCCGGATATATTTTCGGTCAATTCGTGTGCATTTTTTATATGCAACAAAAACAATAAATTGAAATGCTACAACCAAAAGGGTTTATGCAGCTGTAAGAGCAGTAACAAAGCAGCTGCTGCTGCTGCTTCGACTATAACTTCAACTGTAACTGACTGACTGATAAATTGAGAATTTTAAGATTTTCGAAAGTAAGTAATTTTTTTTTTCTTTTTTTTTTTGTCTTTTTTTACGATTTTCCTCGCTTATTCACTGGATATTTTGCGAACAAGAAAACTTTCAACATTTAACTTATTCAAAAGTATTTCATTACTTGACTTTACCATTTAAGTTTATGAAGAGTTAAATGAAAGGACAAGGAGGCGAGAAAAGGAAAATCACTACGGAGCCATTTCTCTAGTTGTAGAGACAAATGCGTTGAGTGAAAATAAAATTTATTTGATTTTTTTTTTCATTTATTTTTTTCGGAGATGTTTTTTCTATTTTTATTCTGGCAAAAAGTACATTCTGAGATTAAACATATTTTAATGGTAGATTGATAAAGTTGTAAATCAAATGCAATCGCAGCGTAAAAGCTTGTTTCTCTCTCAACTTAAATAATCGCCTAAAAGTATGTCACCAGTAAATTGTAATAAACTTAAGTAGAAAATGAAGAAAGCATGAGTTCTATACATACATACATACATACTCATGCATTTACATATATGTACGTATATTGGTGTGTGTATGTATGGATGTTTAAATGCATGTCTAAAAATTAGCTTGAGGACGCTGGCACAAAAGCAAAGAATTTCAATTTAAATTTATTGCCAACGTGAATGAAAAATATATTTTATAAGACGGAAGTAATATGTACATGTGTTTGTGGTTATGTGAATGCTAAATGCTAAATGCTGTGGGCGGTTTACTCAATTCAAATCAATTGTAAGAGAAATAAAGATCAAATAAGTTTTAAAATTAAATTTTTTGTGAATGTGTGCATGCTTGTGCAATACGAGCATTCGTAAAATTGGACCCCGAAGCTTTTGCAAGAATGATGGGCAATGTTAGAACTGATTGCGTTCTATTAGGACATACAACTGGGAGGTCTCGGGGCGGGATATTAACTGTGCTAGATTGATGATCAGCAGAGTTTTGAGAACAAAATTTAAGGCAAAACGAGTGGACAGCAAAGCGATCTCTATGGGCTAGACCAACGACTAGGCTAGGTTAGGTTATGCTGAAATGGCTGACGTTGAAGATTCTGCATGAATATCTTAATTTCCTGTTAGTATGTACTAATTCACCCAAGATGCAACGAGTTTATGATTCCCTTTCAGCCTCATTATCCCGACAGCTACTACAAAACCGGTAAAATATCTAGACTGACTGCATGAATGTCAATCAAACAATGCTTAATCGGAGGCTAGTGACAGTCTAAACAGCTTCCGCGTGTCATATTTGCAATCTGGGAAGAGCTAGGAGCTTGTTAAAGAGCCCGCATTCCAGATTCCTCTCGAAGGATTATGAAATCACTTTATTGGTAGTGAATGTCCAACACTCGCTTATCTTTTCAGAAGCGTCCAACATTTTGACAGAAAAGAGTCTACAGTACCGGAGCGTGTGTGACCCGACACCCAGGCCCAAACAGCATTGCAGTATTTATATGATTTTTATTACGGTTTAACTAGAGCTTAGTATGAGTTATGATTAACATTGCTTGACTATTTTTAAACTCCACATCGCTTGGATTCTCAACTAAATTATACCTGCTCTCACAAAGGGTATTCGGTCGACGAAAGGATGACAGTCTTTGGCAATATACAACTCCGAAAAATTAAGTAAGGAATCCCGCAGGCTCTAAATTCTTAAATGCACGACAACTACAATTACAACCAGCGAAAGTCTCAGCTGCTCTCTTCTTCTAGCTGGAACAATAAGTACCGGTGTGAATTGGATGTGAAGGACGATAACGTCAAAGTTCCGACAATAAATAACCCGAAATTACGGGAGATTACATTCAAAAGCCTGCACTCTATTATGCCTGCAGTTGCCACCAAAGTACTGAGTCGCAATAAAATCTTCAAATCTACAGCAGGCTACAGCTGGGGGTAAAGATATAGAAAAGTTCCGCGCAACTTTCAAGGTGTTTAACCCGTCCGATGGGACGCCGAAGACTAACGGGACGCAGTTGAAAAAGTTACAAGTTCCCCCAGGACACTGCCCCGAGACCCGTGACAGGAAACCTCTGGATGTCACTTATATATTATCTGCTGGGGTGCTACCGTAGAGATCGTCCTAACAGACATTTATTGGAAGCTAAACTACCGATTGGGCACATTTGAAAGGCACTAGGCCAGTTGACAGGCCCTTAACTCCATTCACAGGCAGTTAGTTAACATTTTCATTCTTGGAGTCCAACAACCACCTATAGCGGACCAAGAGCTAGAAGTGACAAGTGTTCAAAACTGATACAATTCAAGTCTGAATACTGTAGCAGACTTAATTTCTAACTAACTAGGACCATTGCGTACTGACATTCGGAAAGCTCGGGTTCAAAGCCCGTGGACATCAATGCGCCCAAGTATGTTTCTGACAAAATAAAACTACTCAACGGCAACTACTCATATCATTAAATCAGGTTCACAAATCGGGGAAGAAGCTCAGTTAAAAATATAACGGTTATTGAGTTCAAATTAAAAGAACATACACGTATATATAATTATTTATAAGTAGCAGTACTACCAGAAACCTTCCCGCCCTCTACGAAGTGGATAATAATTTTTTACAAACTGCACAATCGAAAATCGATGTCAAGCGGAAAAAAATATTTAAAATATGCTTTGATCATTGATTTTCGCTATCATAAATTCAACTTTCACACAATTGCACACAAACGAACCAACAACAACAACGTATGGAATAAAAAAATTTTCGTAATTTTGGGTGAAATTTAGAATATATCCTGCATATCTCAACTCATAACAACAGGATGCTTGTATTTATGTACAATATGTACTGCAAATATATATTTGTTTGTATGCCCACTCACCTCCACCTTCTGCAATACTTTATCCAGTCCAGTGATTGTCAAATCTTGTTCTTTCAATTCAGATGCCTCCAGCGCTGCCGGTGTTACACGTACGCCGGGCACGAATTTCAATGACATAACATCCGATAAACCGTTTGGCAGCTGAGCCTGTTTGTTACAAGAACAAAAGCAAAAAAGCAGCATCAATGTATGTGCGCAAACAAACAAAAAAAGCAACAACAACAACAACTCACCTCCAAATCGAATTGGACATCATTAGTCTTCACAATGCTAAGGACTTCATTGAAATTCGACGACAATTCAATCTGGCACGCATAGCGTCCGGTGTCGGCCTCAAAAATAGGCGTTACCACATAATGTTCGAGTAGCTGTTGGCCCAAGGACTGTTTGGATGTTAGGCGGCAAGTGAATAGTTTTACCGTGGACATGCGTTCAAGGACACTTGAGCATTTCGAAATATTTCTGGCGTGCTAACGAGGTGGCGTTCGATTATATAGCAGCATACAGCAGGCAGCAGGCAGCAGGCAGCAGGCAGCAGGCAACAAATGGCATAGTGGAAGAGCAGAAAAAAGAATTAGAAAAAGTTACGTTATATAAGGAGAAAATAAGAAAAATATAAAAAGCAAAAATAAAAATAAATAAACTATATAATTTACATTTTCACTAACTAAATAAGTATGTAAGTTGTATATTTTCGCATTGTATATTAGGTATGTATGTATTTAAATTGCACATAAATGTTACAGCAAAAGTTACTTTAGTTACTTTGCACAAAAGTAAATCCCGCTTATTTCGTATCAATGCGTCGAGTGACCGGCTGGCAAACTGGCAATCAAACTTGCAAAAAAATACACACATACATATATACATATATATATATTATATTTGCATTTAACAGTCTCAAATATAGCAAATACAAATATACGTACTTATATTTCTATTTATACATATTTATTTAGGTACTTACCAAGTTGGTAAACTTATCCACTTGCAAATGATTGCGCACAACCAAATGTCCTCGATACGATGAACCGCTAAATATATCGAATGATTTCAATAATTGAATCTGTAAAGTATGCACAAAAACACAAACAAATAGAGGGGGGAGAAAAAAGTTAAGCAAAAAGTTTACAAGTGGCACAGGGCGAGTTTTGCACAAATGCTCACACACCCACACACACGTACACACAAATGCAAATTTTGCAAATTTTTGAGCCAGACATTTGTATGTACACTCGTACATGTATATTTATAAATAGAGAAATTTCCAATGAACCAAATATTTTAACTAAACATTGCTTGCGGTTGGCGTTGGTTGTGTGAGCAGAGCCGTCACAAACTCAAATAGAAATTTGCAAAGTGCATACTTGCAGTTTTTTTTTTTTTATTTTCATAATTTTATTTAGTATTGGATTTCTTTACATAACTTTCATAAAATTTAACTCACCACATCGGCATCACGAACTTCGACATCATATTTTATGGAACTGCCACTAGCTTTATCGCCATTGGTTACAACAATTTTTTCGCCCAATTTCAAGCGATTGCTGAGCACTCGTGCGACTCCTGGAAAGAGTTTGGAAGTGTGTAGTTTAGTAAGTACATATCAAAAACATATAAAAATTAGAAAAAATTAGAAAAAATTGTAAAAAAAAAACTATAAAAGGAATTAGAAGTTTGAGACGAGTTGAGTTATCTCGAAGTCTAAGTGGGATTTACCAGATACAGTTCGTTGTATGATAATTTCATCACTTACACTCGATGTAAGATGAAGTTGTTTCTGTGGTTGTACTAGCTGCGATTAAATAAAAACTTAAAAAAGGAAGAAAAACTCATTCAACATTGCTTGGACTGACTGTAAAGCCAGTAAAAACTGAGACCAACCTCTTCAGGAATCCATCTGTATATCGAATAACCTCAAACACGATCGTACTTGATCGAAGTTTTACTTTTTATTACTTTTGACTAAAAAAAAAGGGGCTTCGACCTCAAATGGTGTATTGGCTTTACGAGAAACCTACTAGCTTTTGGGCGACACTAAAGGTAAAGTAAGGCATTTAACCTTTGAACAGGTGTATCTTAACTGTTGATCGGGTGTATCAGCTGATATTAGAAATAGCTCAATAAAGGCACTTGAAGCCATCACGACATCAGGCCAGCCAATCAATTTGCATGTTATGTATGAAGCAGCGTTAACAGCTAACCGCGTAGAAGCCTTGACAATCCTATTAATGTGAGGAACAAGTTAGCATACAGAAAGATATAACACGCTCGAGCTAATCGTACAATGAAATCGTGAAAAAACCCGCCCTACAAGCTACCTCTTCCTAACGTGAAAAAATATCCATATACATATATACTGTTGATTCGAACTACGAGGCAGGCACAGGTGCAGGCTTTTTCTGTTACCCCTTACTTCAAACTCTATGAACTCAATTCTCTCTACCAAGCAAAGATTGTGTGCATTGCCGCGACAGTCAAATAGGCAACCGCTTTAATGGGAAAATTTATTAAGTTTCATATAGGCACCCAAGCAGTTATTATATTACAAAGGAAAAGTAAGTAAAGAGTCAGTTAGCAGGCTATCGATATATCGGATAAACACAACGAATATCGCTTGGGTTCCAGTTCCCAAGATATTAGAAGGGCATGAAAAGGCGGACGAACTGGCGAAGCACCAGCGAAGCTGTCATCATCGTTTGCCTCACACTCAGAGAGCGTCTTCAAATGTTGCCTAAACTAGTCGAATACTAACGGTTGATAAGCACGTCTAAAATACTATATTCGAACAGGTGTCCGGGTACTCGTCGTTCAAATGCTTAGACTACCTGGCATTGATCGAACAAGATCTTAAGATCTACTATCAATTAATTCTATTAAATCCATTCTGTGAAATCTGATTTGACTTACAGTTTTCATAACGTTATCGGTTTCAGCGTTTATTTGTTATCTTTTTAGTGATTTGAGAATTTAATCTGGTCTAAAAATTTAATTCTTGAGGCAATCAACCGAATCAATTTGTTTCTTTTTACTCTTTCTCAAATATATCTAGACAAAATTGTGCGCTGAAACGATTGAGTTTACTTTATTTCATCAAAAATGTAAAGTAAAAAATGTCTTGGGACTATCAATTAGCGTACAAGCGGGCATGACTAATTCAACATTTTTGTCGTTTTTATTTTAGTTTTCTTTTGTTTGTTGGGGTACTTTAATTCTGCACCGTTTTTAACGGTTAATGAAAGACTCAATGTCTTAGGGGTAATTCAAATTACTGTTTTTTCTAAAGTTCATTTGCATTTTTATGTTATCATCATGTATAAACTAATAGTGAATAGTACCACCTTTTTTGAAAAAAAAAAAAAAAAAAAAAAAAATCGGTTGGGAAGCGTATGTAAGATCGCTTCATGATGGAATTTTATAGTGTTTGTTAGTTATCGAAGTTATAAACCTTTCTCGAGATCCATCCTCATATATTCTCAATTATATTTAAAGCTGGAGAGCAAGGTGGCCACTCACGCCATTAAATGAACATTTTGTTGGGCAATCCACTTTTATACTACTCGAGCAGAATGTATATCGGCATTATCTTGTTGAAAAGTCCGCGATAAACGCACAGAGAGTTGCTTTATTATAAATCTAAATTAAATTTAACATTTTTTGATTTAGCATTTCAAAGCATTTTTCCTCTTTAATAAAAATGATTCAACACCTTACGAAACAGAGCCCCTGTAGGTCACTAGCACCTATTGTAAAAAAAAGTGGATTTGGTTTTGCTAAGCGTAAATTTTTTCCTTTTTCCGGCTGTTAAGTGTTTTCCGCCACACATTTTATATTTAACATATGCAATGTCTCACCAAAAGGGCAGCCTTTGGGGCTATTAATAATCGCCTAAAAGCTCCTACTTGTGTCTCACGCAGTTCTCTACCAAATACAGCAAATATTACGGTAATAGCTAACTACATAAAGAACCCAAAAAAATGTAGAGTCTATTTAAGTGATCCGTTTTATATGTATGTCTATACATAAGCCCCGGCTGTACCAAACTTAATTGAGCAAATTTCTTTATAAAATTAGTAGTTTTATATAAGATATATGTAATACACATATGTACGTTCGTATAGTTAAATGCAAGCAAAGAGCTTCCACCACCCTAAAGAACTAACGCCTGGTTATGTGTTTTCAATTTATTGCCTTTATGTACATACAAACATAACTATTATTGTTTGTACAAATATACAGTAGATGTAAGAAGGGCAAGCAGCAAGTAGCAATGCGTTAATTTCATTAGTAAAAAAGTAAAGTCCAAAATCTGGCGACACCTCAACCTTGCAGCATGGCAAACGGAAAGTTGTGCAAGCGAAAACTCGTGTTAGAACCACAAATCGCTGCACCAACAAACCAAAGTTAAGACAATAAAGTTGGTAAAAGTATCACTTGAACATATACATATATACAAACATGCACATAGCTTTATATACGTATGTACATATGTATGTATGTATGAGCCCAACATGAAATCAGCACAAATGCACAAGGACTTTGAGGGATGCACAGCGGTGTACGAGTAAGCATGTAGATAGTACACGAAACGGCCAAAAGGCTTTGGCAATGAGATAAACTAGTATTTACTTTCCAACTACCGCCGCCGCCGCCGCTCCCTACCTATGGTGGCCGGTAAATATTTTATTGAATTAAATTTGCTCCAATAACTTTATGTAAACAATAAAAATAAAGTGTAAACAAAAATTTTTGTAGTTAGATACTAAGGTTGGATAGTGACCTGTAAGAAAAACGTGGTGGAAGTGGCTAAAGCTATGGTTCTCACTTCAATGATTGAGGCAAGTTGGTTTGGAGTGAGCGTTCAAGAACACAGCTTTGGGAGTATAAAAACCGATAGTTCTTCAGCTCTCTCTTCTTTGCTGTCTTTGCTTCAAAACAAGATAGATAGTACAGAGTGAATAGTTGCACGGATGGATCAAGTTTGGGTAGACAGATTGCCGTCTATTGGTCGCTCCTTAAATAAATCACTAAAGACTACGTAATCGTATAGGTTATTTCGTATATTACGACAATATAACTACTGATATAGCTACATCCCTAGTGGAAAAGGACAAGAGAAGAGAGAAGAAAAGGACTCTCTCTTGAAATCACTTTCGCTGTGCTTCAAAATGTAACAATGATGGCAAGACACATCGAAAAGTTTTTTTAGTGTTCGACGGAGGCTTTATAGCTGCTATCGAGGTATTCCCCAAAGCTCCTTCTCCAACACATATAAGGAACAACATTTTTATGCCGCCTACAAATGGCTGAGGAAAATTTATATTGAACGTCATGGCGGAAACACACTTGGGAGGGTACGAAAGTCCCCGGTTGAGGGGCCACCGCAGTAAGATTAAAGTTTTGTAATTTCCGATGTTGATCTGACCAGTATTCCGACTCTCGATAATGTGCATAGCGTCTCCTACCGCTGCAGTGCTTTGATATATTTCTTGAACAAAATTCGGCCTACAGTAGATCTTCAGAGTATTTGAAAAATAACAATTATCAGCATATTCTATCGGCATACTCCAGCCCTAGAGTGGAACATTTTTGTCTAAAGTCACCCCGGTCAATTCTAGTACAGAAAAGAAGAAGAGAGTTTTACGGAACAAACTCTCGCTTTAAAACACTTTTCCAGCATCTAAGAGCGGCACTAATGTGATAAAAGAATTCAAGAAGTTTGGTCTGCGTTCTTTGAGAGATTTATTAATTTACTTCGAAATAAGAAGTGAGGAGAGAGAGTTTTTGGATTTTCACTTACTTTACTCCATAGCATAAGCGATAGACCATTTGTCCCGGCTTTGAGAGTTTCATTTACCATTTATGCAGACTGCAGAAGTGGTTTTTCATGAGCTAAGTGTGACCTAAGCATCAGTTTCCAGATCATTTTGCTACACTGTTTGTAAAGTTATCCAAAACCCATTGGGTACCGATTTAAGTTTAATTAAAATACTAGGACTGCCTTTATATTTTGCGATTAGAACACATAATCAAATATTTTTAATGGACGAAAAACACTTTTTGTATTTCTTTTCTCCATTAAGATCTATACACTTTTGTATGCGAACGAATTGTCGAATCACTTTTGCCGCTCCGATTGAGATATCTCCAAAACACGCGTTCTAAACGCATCAACCGCCTTTTCAAGTGTGGAAAAACGTTGACCTCTCAAGTTTTTCTTTTAGCTACGGGACTAAAAAGAAGTCATTCAGTGCCAAGACCGGATTGTACGATGGATAACTCTTTAAATCAATGATTTGAGTGCTCAAAAATTGTATTCTTTCAGCCGATGTTTGAGAGCTCGCATTTGGTTGGTTAGTTGATTGAAATGATCGCATTGTCGTGACGAGCTGTGATCAGTTTTCGCCGGTTGGTTTTCATGATTTCTTGAAAGACAACTGGTAAGGTAAACATATGGTTGTATAGCACCCAGAATTTACGGTTCTGTGTTGCTCAGTGGTACGGTTGCGACATGTCCAGTTTTTCTAAAAATCAGAGAAACATTTGTTTGGAAGTGCTTTGGGCGC